ACGGAGACAGGCCGAGGTCGACATTGAGGACATCCGGGCGCGCAGAGAGTCCTACTACTCTCGCAACGAGGCTGAGAAGAGGCGCGACCGCGATCGCGTGGTATCAGACAGCAAACGCACACCGGCCAAGGAAAAGCCACGGAGCAGCCGTGAGAAGGAGGTGCGACGGGACAGCACGCGGAAGCCCAAGAGAGCAGTGATACCTGATGACCACGACGACTTCGTCTTTGGCCGCCCCAAGTCCATGGGTCACGTTGAGGAAGTCCCTGTGCGACGAGCATCTGGGCGCAAGAGAAGCGAGGAAGGCGGCTCTTCTAGCAGGACTGCCTATACTCCGCATTCAGGTTCTGGATCTGCGTCAGTCCGCAGGGTCGAAGTTCCGCCATTGACCAGGTTAGTCCCGTCTCCACTTGTACACGTAGCCCAGCTAATGAGGGCCAGGAATTCATCTACACGCGAGCCAAAAGCACATACTTCTGCCAGAGAGCGAGAGCCCAGGCCGACAGTACGACGCAGCAACACGGTCAAGTCGCCTCCCCCAACGCCACTCACCAGGACGCAGTCGGTCAAGGATGCTGCCCGTCGGAGCACCGGGGGCATCTTGTCAAGCTTCTTCTCCAAGGCGGCGCCTCCAGTTTCGCGAACGCCTTCGCGCAAGGCTGAAGAGAAAACGTTAGTATCCCCGTCACGTTACCCCTACAAAGCTAACCTCAATTAGGGTCGACTGTCTCGTGTGCATGAACGATGACCTACCCATCACCAAGACCGTCAAGCTCGCATGTGGCCATCGCATGTGCTACTCGTGCCTCAAGCGCCAATTCACCCTTTCCGTAAAGGACCCTGCTCACATGCCACCACGATGCTGCACCTCAGAGCACATCCCATTGAAGTATGCCGACCGCCTCTTCGATGACAAGTTCAAGGTCCAATGGAACCGGAAGTTCCAAGAGTACACGACTGCCAACCGCCTATACTGCCCCACGAAAGGGTGTGGCCAGTGGATCAAGCCTTCCAAGATCAAGATGGACCCGACATACGGACGCAAGTACGCACGCTGCAGCACGTGCAACACCAAGGTCTGCGTACTCTGCAACAGCAAGTTCCACACGAAGCGTGAATGCCCCAAGGACGAGGAGACCAACCGCCTGGTAGAGATGGCCAAGGAGAAGGGCTGGCAACGATGCTACAGCTGCAAGGCTGTAGTCGAGCTGAAGGAAGGTTGCAATCACATGACCTGGTACGTTCATCATATCACTCACATACAATTATATCTAACAATCTTCCAGCCGCTGCACAGCACAATTCTGCATGGTCTGCGCCGCCCCATGGAAGACCTGCAGCTGCCCCTGGTTCAACTACCAACACATCCCGGACGGCGACCAGCTCAACGACATGCGCGTCCCCTACCCGCAACAAGCCCGCTACGCCGATGTCGAAGTCATCGAAATCCCCGACGAGCCCTCGCCACCCCTCGCCCGCCGCCCCAGCGTCCGCACCCCACGCAACCGCAGCGAACGCGACCTACCCCGACCCGAATCCCGCCGCCTGTCCGCTCACCTCCGCGACTCACTGCACCTCAACCCCACGCCCACCGTCTCTTCCATCCGCCGCACTGAGCCCGAAGTGCAAATGTACGGTGTCGGCAACGCAGGTGGCCACCACATGAACGATTCGTACGCCATCCGCTCCATGCCCGCATCCGTTGCGCGCACCGCAGCCCGCACATCCACTCCACGCACGTCAACCCCACGTGGCGCCTTCTTCACCAGCAGCAGCAGCACACGCCGTGCTGCGCCCGCGCCTGCCCCTGTTGCCGCCCCTCGCGTCCGACCCGCATCCACACCTGTCGTCACCTCCTCCACCATGGCCGGTCTCTCTCGCGACGGCCGCAAGGTCGGCCAAAACCGTGTGGGCACCTGGCTCACTCACGTCCAAATTGACCCCGAAGCTACCAACACAGCTGCCCGGGATGTCGAAGTGGATGACTGGAGGTGCGATGGTACCATGATTGGTATCGACTAGATCATATCGCATTCTATTGCACACATAACGACCGGCGTTTTTTGCTTTCGATCTGGGTTCTACATCTCCTTCTAGTCGTCACACTTCCTCTTCTTCACTCAGCATCAATTTTCTGGGCTTTGCGTTTTTGGGATTTATACATCGGATTGTTTTTTTTTCTCGGTTATTGGGTTGGTCATTTTGAGCTTTGGGAATGTTTAGAGTTACCCTTCTCCCTCCTTTTTATCTTTCGCGAGCGGAATACCCGCGAAAGGTTCTTTTTCTTTTGTGTGTATTAGTCGTGTTGATTAGCGGTTTTTGGATAGCATTTAGCCGGCAAGATACCCACCCTTTACGCCCTCGTTTAATCAGTTATTTTATTGCGCTAATGCTATTGTACTCTTTCTGTTCAACTTCAAAAGTGTTTGAGATTGTCTTGCTATTGGTGATGTAATGTGATGTAGTTTGGCGGGAGTTTGGGAAAGGTCAAAAAGTTGTTTGTCGTAGAGTACATAATGATATTGATATCCACGTCATCCTATTGCTATAGATTATTTGACAGTGTTTACACCAGTCTCATTCCAAATGCTGTATTGTCGAGTGATAACAGGCCCACTGCAGCGCAGTGATTTGAAACACTTCTATCAAATACTTCCCAAACTTCCAAGGTTGTTTGATAATCTAGACATCGTGTTACAATATCAGCCCAACTATGTGTGCGAAGCCAAGACAACCACGAGGCTATCTAAATCTACGCCTCACACTAAGAAGTGACCGCGCAGTTCTGCAGCCTACACCAGGGTCGAACGTGCAGGTCAGAAAACATAGCAAGTCCTCATCTTCTTCGTCAATTGGTGTGCCTACGCCATCGCCCCTCAACTCCCCATCCTAATCGTAACCACCTCCCCGAGCAAGTAAGCCAGAGGAGATCCTGAGATCCACCTCGTCATCGTGAGGCGTATGCAGAGTACGTGGCACCAGCGCAATGGCTGTGATATTCGCTTGTCCTCTCGCTAGATATGTACAAAAAAAAATGAGGCAGTGAGCAGAGAGGGGTAACGGACCTACTCTCCCAGCCCCCCTTCAACCCTGTACCCTGATCGTCTACTGAGCGGTGAAGCCCGTTGGAAAGTGCAAAAGATTAGCAAAAAGAATGGTTCGAATGTTCTTGAGCAGGCTCAAGCACGGTGATGTCCCCTTCGTGGATCGAACACGATACCTCCAGATTTAGTGACTGATGACTTCAGTCTGGCGCTCTCCCAATTGAGCTAAGGAGACGGTTTCTTGATGGAAGTTTGCCAGGCTGCAACACATATATTGCGGGCAATTGTGCTTCTCTGAGAGCTTCGATCGATCAAGATTGCAAAATGGAACTTCGTAACATGTCTCCGCCGTGTGTGGAGTTGATGTCGTTGACTAAGAAAGATGACGGTTAGTGTACCGAGGCTCACCCATCTCCAGTCCACCAGCTCCACAGCATCTACCCCAACTTCTTTCCGCGCAAAAGCTCCTACACCACCACAACGCCGTCGCGCTCGCTCCCACACCGCTCCAACTCTTCCAAAATGCAACCCTCACCCCTCGCGAACCCATTGGCAACCGTCGCCCAGCTCGAAACCTCCGGTTCGCAACTCGATGGCATCCCACCCACGCTGGAAGACTTCATCCGCTTCGCGGGCGCGCGCCTCACCCAAGCCGCCGGCATCCTCCTCCGCCTCCCACAAGAAGTAATCGCGCAAGCCATCGTAATTTTCATGCGCTTCTGGCTCGGTCCCGAAGGCGGCAGTCTCGCGGAATCCGGCGCAGAACAAGTCTCAGCCGCGTCGCTGTACCTCACCACGAAGCTCTCTGCGTATCCGAAGTCTGCGCGCAGTCTTGTAAACGTGTACGCGTATCTCGATTCGTTGACGGCGACGTACTTCGATACCGAGGATTTGGAGCGGACGGGCGAAGACGCAAAGGGATACTACGTCAGCGAGGGGACATATGAGCGCCGTCGCGCAACGCTGTTTACAACCGAACAACGCATCCTGCGTACCCTGGGTTTTAACACGCACGTCCAACTCCCCTACACACTATGCATTACATACATGCAAGCCCTCGACATCTTCAGCCACCCGCGCGCCTCCGAACTCGCAAAACGCGCAATCGCGCATCTCAATACCGCGCTACTGAGTCCTCAGTGCCTTTACCTGACGCACCAGCCGCATGAGTTGGCAACGGCGGCGATTTATCTTGCGGCGCGCGAGACGGGGATAAAGATGCCGGAGTGTGAGTGGTGGGAGGTGTTTGATACGGATAGAGAGGTACTGGGTTTCCTTTGTGTGGGGCTGTTGAGCTTGGAGGGGTGGGTGAGGAGTGAGAGGGAGAGGTGGGAGGGAGGGAAGGTGCCGATGAGTGTGGAGGGGGTGGAAGCGCAGGTTAGGAGGATGCGAGAGGAGAAAGAGGCTTGAAAGACGCAATACCCTTTGCTCTCACCTTGGACTTTACGGAATTTCCATCACGGACACTGAGGACCTCGCATAACTCCTCTACACGACTCTCGAAGATGCGTGACGAATCTCGGAAATCACACACTGTTCGCGATGTTGCGCAAACTTCTGGAAAACACCATATCTTCACGATGTCTCCCGTACGCAAACAACGTGTGGATTGGAAGAGCAGGGCGACCGTAATGAGCAATCCGATATATTCCCGCTACTACCGTCGACTAATTCCCACATCAAATCGACATGGCATCGAGAGAAACGCCAGTTCAGAAGAGCGTGACGCCGTTTGAAGATTTTCTAAGGTGGAATAGTGACCGCAATATTGAAGTGCGGTATGATCGGTTCGTGAACGACAATGGGTATGAGCAGCGCATCACCTGTCTACCGTCAAGCGCGGGCGTCCAACAGAAATGGTCTTCACATACGGAAGTTGAAAAGCATCGAAGTGCCCCTGCATGGCTAGAGGGAACATACGAGGGTTTTAGCATCGAAAGAACTACAGACACCGTTATGGATGCACCACTCGACAACGCTAAGGACCATGACTCTGTACTCGGCCCTCGTAGTAACCCCGTGAGGTTGAGTCGCAAAGCTGCTGTGAAGCGCAACAGTACGAAAGAGAGAAAGGCGGAGACTGAGAGACACGACAGTACGATGCAGAGCACCCACGTCCGCGCGAAGACTTCTTCTATGGTTCCAGCTATCCGGATCACTGCGAGCACGCCACCCATCTTACGCCGCTTTAGCTTCGATGAAACACCCAGTGAACTGTCTTTTAGCCTCGCCAAGCTCTCCAATTCACCTGATTTCGAAGACATCCCACTCAGCCCTGTGGCTGGTCCAGAGCCGGTCAACTCGTCTCAACGGCAGCTACCTGCCCAGGAACAGCGAAGTCATCGAGTGGCCAAAGAGGAGCGAGAGGAAAAGGTTGGAAGCCAAGAAGTGGAGCGACAGCAACGCCGCGTTGCGACGACTTTTGATCAGATATTAGGGGAGAAGAGGATTCCGACCGCGTTATTATAGATGTTGCAGGAGGATGAAGGAGGTGAATGGAGGATATACGGAAGAAGATGAGTACGAAAGCTCAATCATCTAGCAGATACAATCACCATCTCGCCCACAACCGAACACATCACTTGAAGATTAGCAGCACGCTGTTCACCAACACGTGCTCGATCTCAAACGCAATTCCACAACGCAATCGTTTGCTACACTGTACATCTTCACCTCACGTTTCTTCGTTACTGTCGCGACAGCTAGATAAGACTGTTATGTTCTCGAAGTGAGGAGCCATTGTAGCCTTGACACAATGTATTGTTCCTCTGATCTAGACTTTCACACTGCGCTGTAGTAATCTCAGGCTTAACACATACTACCGTGTACGCCTTAATATTAATACATCAGTATCAACTCATAACCTCCTCTTTTAGACAGAGCGGAAATAGCTCACCACCCATAAACACAGCCATGCCACGCGCCCTAGTCGCCCTACCAACAGGAACCCAAGCATCATGGCTCAACATGCTCCCTTCCTCCCTTCTACCTAAGCCTAAGCGCCAACCCCGCGCAACCCCCCAAATGCTTCTCCGCATCTCCGCTCTCCACCACTCCCTTTCTATTATAAAACACTCCCTGATAACCCGCACACACATGCACCACCTCTACCACACCCTCGGCGCCTACTGCATTACCTGCACACCCATCTCCACGCGTGGTCGCTGCGGTCCCACATGTCCCCTTCTCCGCCCATATGCTTCCAGTTGTGCGTTTTACGGGGCGGTGGAAGCGGATAGGGGGTGGGTGAGGCAGTTGGTAGCTGATAAGGCGAAGTATAGGGAGATTGTTGGGGATATGCAGACTAGGGGTACGAGTGTCTACGCAGCTACGGTTGCGCGGTGGGAGAGGGTGGTGCAGGGGCTGAGGGAGGGGTGTGAGGTGCCGAGTGAAAGATGGGAGAAGGAGGGGTGGCCTAGTGGGAGGGGGAATGAAGGGGAGGGGATGGTGGTGTTTAGAGAGGGGTGGAGGTTTGAGAGGGCTTGGGGGAGTGGGGGTGGGGGTGTGGCGCCTGAGGTTAGGAGTATGGTCTTGAGAGGGGTTAAGAGAAAGTTTGAGGAGTGCGGTGAAGGAGATGGTGGAGATGGGAAGTGTGAATTGCTGGAGGGTAGTAGGAAACGTGTTAGGCTTGTGTAGTAGTCTACCTTTGGTGAGCTGAGTACCACTTCCTTTACTAGACTTTTGAAAAAGTACATTGCTAATGATTGCAATTTCATCGACTCAATGACACATACACCTGACTCTAGCAGTCCAACTTGTTCCTCAGAAGTGCGCGATGGCCTTATTGTTCTTTCGATGCTCCCGAAGCAGAACCACAAGCTCGTTGTCATCAGGGAGTCGCCTCATCAATGCTCTTGCTGGCGTCCCGAACGAGTCGCATTTGTCGGGGTCGGCACCATGCTCCAGTAGCCATTTAGCCGTCTCGTATCGCTTCCGGCGGAGAGCACAGTGTAGTGATGTGCCTTCGCGTCCGCAACACTCGTCTGATATAGGTGGTCCACTGTCCATACCGTGAATGTCAACGCCTAGCTCTCCGACGAGATACTCAAGCATTAAAATTCTGTTGTCGCTTATACTACCCGCTGCACGGTGGAGCGGTGTAGAGTTGGATAGCACAGCACCATGAGCGAGCAAAAGAGCGAATATCTCTGGGCTACAGTGTGCGGCTGCGCTATTGAGTGTGTGGCCACAGTTGGATATGGGACGCATATTCATCGCTGGCGCTGTTATCTTCTTCGGTGGCCCGAGGTTGGGGTTCGCTCCTAGTTTAAGGAGCAGTCGAATGCTCGGTTCGTCGTTTTCTTGAACAACGAATCTATTCCCAATAAGCTAGTTCATGAAGTTTCAGTTGCCTTGAAGACTTACAGGAGGAGAGTAGCACCGCGGGCTACGCTGGTATTGACGTCGTAACCAGACTCTATCAACCACTTCACCGTTTCGTGGGATCTGGATGCAAGATGCACTGTGCGCGTATCCCATTTGGCACCTACTTCAAGCAGCTGGCTGGCTAAGGCGAGATGTCCGCGTTCAACCGCTCGGTTGAGACCATATGTCAACAACGCAAGCTCGCGACCCGGTGCCAGTTGTAAGACAATGGCCGTGTCATTATCCTCGCACGCTCGCAGAAATTCTCGGCAGTACAAGTCGTTTTCCGCGTTCTTGAGAGAAGCATATGCGGCATGCGGCGGCATGGTGAAATCAGGTGGTGGTGCACAGTGTGCCCAGGTGAGGAACGAAGCGGGGGGGTGAGATCAAGCGACGGTTTCGATTGCTCAGTCGCGATCGCGATATGAATACATCTGACTGGCCCCCCGTAGGATTGCCGTCTTCATGCGGCGCATGCGGCGTACTGTTTCAGATACTACCCAAAGACGATGGATGGCCATCTGGGGTCGCCATGGGGTTAGCGCCGGACTCGTGGTCGTCCGTGCGGCCTGTAAGTGGCAGTCGCACTCATCCTCGTCACCTTCGAATCGCTTCCTTCTGTTCAACATCGACATCTCACTCTCCTAACTCTATCACTCCATCTAGTGGATTCGCATTCGAAGTACACCCGGCATTCCGCTGGTACAGCAACGTCAGACAAGTCACAAACATGGTGAATTGCATCGTCAAATCAGCCCCCATGGCCATCAGCGTCTGGTCTCGACAAAGTATGACGCTACGCCACGGGCCAAAACCTCTTCGGGGACCAAACATCCGTCTTTTTTTTTGCTTGGATTCGCTGACCGATCTGACAACATCGTGCCTTCGCAATACCGCTCCTTCGCGGCGCAGAACTGGACAGCGAGACCCAAGGCAGAATACGTGTCCTGAGTCCCGATTTTAGAACATCAACGACAATCCTTTGCAAGCGCTTCGGACATGCAGGAAATTACTACATGGAGCGTATGCAAGAATGTCTAAATGGGACCGTAGGTGGATGGAAGCGCAAGCACGCTGACCATCCAGATGACACATAAAGCTGAACAAAGATCATGATTCTGGGAGATTTCAAAGTACTCCCCCCATCGTTCCATTCTTCCTGCATCACTACGTCGTCATGAAACTCCTACACCGCGGTTGTGCATTCGCTTTACTTTTCTCCCATTCGGCATTCATCGAGGCACAGATCAGTACGGGTACCGGAAGCAGCAGCGTGATCTTCCAGAGTGGGGCCCCATTCCCGGTGCCGGCCAACAGCACAAGCACCCCTATCTTCAAACCTTCCAATCCACTCAATGGACCACATACGACGGCTTCCTCGAGCCTTTCGTTCACTAGTCTCTCTTCGGCGACGCAGACGAACGATACCGTCGTGGATACCAGCACAATTGCATCTTTGTCGAAGGCCTCAACTGGAGGACTTACTACTTCTTCCCAACCTTCGGGCCCCCCTTCAGTCTCGTCTATCACTTCGTCTTACACTCCATCCCCAGTCTCGTCGAGTACCGCCACGTTTCCCCCAGCGGTATCCAGTGCTAGCAATCTAACGACTACATCAAGTTCCGTCACGGGAGTTACAGCCAGTGAGACAAGCCTCCATTCAACCGTACAGCCTACTGTAGTCAGTTCAGCGTCCAATACTGCCTCCACAATACTCGCAACATTGAATAGCCCATTACTTCCTCCCGGAATCACCATTCCTCCTTTGCCAGTAACTACCTTGGTACCCACTGGAACCGAAGTCCAGTCGAGTGCGTCGGATCTATCCATAGCCATCTTGGGCGTTTTTCCTATTCTCCAAAAGTGGATAGAAGATCCTGTCGCTCATGTCACCGAGGTGACAGAAGAGCTGGACAATATCATACCCGACGCAGTTGGCTTCTTAGCCAAGCTACCAAAGCCAACAGACGGAGTTGAGCCATGTGGGTCTGAAAAACGCCGAAGAAGCGAAGGAAATCATGAATTGCACGATGTTCTCAGTGAGCGCGATTTACTCGGCGGGTTGTTCAAGACAGCATTCTCGCTCGTCAACTGTGTCATCAACACTACCAACAAGGTGAAGGATGCAGTTATCGGCGGAACGACAGCCGCAGTGGATACTGTCAAGGGCTTACAAGATGACCTCAAGCCGTTGCTCGATGCTCTCAACGAAGTGGTTCCAAACGAAGCCTCCGAGCCCTCTGACTCAGTGTCAGAGACTGAAGAACCTACGCAGACTTCCTCCTCTACATGCACTCTAATGACCGTTAGCAACTGCAACATTGCATGTACAGCGACTGCAACTACGACCAAAGGAGGGCCAAACAAGCGGGCGCAAGGTGATGTCTGCACCACAGTCTGCGGTGCACCTATTACCAAATGCGATGTTACTGGTTCCACTTCTTCATCCACAGTTACGTCTACAACAACGGCTACTCGACAGAAATGCGCTCCCGACTGCGATAACTGTAATGGCAATGTACGAAGACTCGCGACTAGCGTGCCTGCATCGACCGAATTTCCCACAGCTTTAGAAAGCATTGCTGTCTCCTCAACCTCGGCCATCGCTGCATCGTACTTCGGTAAACCCCAACCAAGGACGCACGAACTCGCACCAGTGGAAACTAGTCAGTCTATCAGCCATATCTCGAAACGAACTCTTTCGAGCCCTTATGGGCCTGGAAGCAACGGTATGTACCTTTCCGATCAGCTGGTTGTACCATCTCAGAGCTATCGGAAGCTGTTGACTTGGATCGTCCATATGTACTACTCAGCTTTCACAGCAGTTGACTAAATCTATTAGGTGATGTTGGAGCATGGCTTCTTTCCCGGATCGCTGAAAACCCTGACGGCTCTGTTGAACAGGGCCGAGGAACGACTGGACTGACGTTCCCACTGGATGATATAGCGGACGATTGGAACCTGGTAAACCTATGGGGTTGCACATCCGTCGTGGTCATCTCCCGCAAACGCATGTATCTTACCCACATCTGGGAAGACCCTTCCATGGAACAGCCACAGCTTTTCCAAGCTGATGTATTGGATGTTCTCCGAGATGGTAGTCAGGAGTTTCCCCACGGTCTTACAGTATTCACTGTGCCCGGCGAAGGCTTCGAAAACATTGCAGAGAACAAAGTACGTGCGTTCATCATTACGCCGTATAGAGATTTTGCTATCAACCCGGCCAGCGACGACATCAACTATCCATACGAAGTAAACAAGATCAAAAATCTGTTAGACAACATCCTTGGACGGAATGACGCACTGATCATACCCTACTCTCCGGCTGAGGAAAATAATCGGGATGAGACGTCCCCGAAAGGCAAGATCTACATTCAATATGACCCCGTGACAGCCGCTCTCATACCAGCAGAAGGCGGTTGCAATCAGCAGCAAGTTGCGGCGATAGAGCTTTGGTTTGAGGATGCTCCGACCTACCGTTACAGAGACACATGGCAGCCATTCCCAGATCAGGTTGTGCAGGCAAAGAAACGGTCCGTCGCATCCAGTGGTAAAGACCTGCGCTTTCTCAGAGGAAGAGAGGTGACGGATGCGGACGAAGCAGAGTGGAAAGAGTACGAGGCTTTGATGAAACGTCAAGATGGCGATACTTGTGCTCGACCTAGCAACAGCTTGTCGGTATCATCGGTGTCACCCGTCCCATCACCAGCTTCGACCGTACCTACTCCGTCCACTTTCCAGACAACGGTCAGGCCGTCATTGAGCGACTCAACCAGCGAAAGTTCAAGCCCACCGCCCTCGTCGATAGCCACATCATCACCAACTTCAAAGTCTTATTTGACGTCGGAGACTCCGTTTCTTACTTGGAAACCGGCCCAGCCCAGCACGATGAAATCACCTTCAGCAGCGCCCAAGCCGTCGTCTACATCGCAATCTCCGCCGCCACCTCAAACCGAGCCTCCGACGAAGGCATTATCGGTGATCTTCCGGAACACAGAAGGCAATGGCGAAGACTACAACAACTGGACCTTCTTCGAGATCAAACCCAACGCTCAAGCCGATGGCTGCAGCGTGCCCGTCCTCAACGATGTCTCGCGGCAATGGTCCGATGCCTCAGCCCTGTCGAACCCGCCGTGGCCGCACGGCACTTTCACCATGCCACTGTTTGGAGAAGAGGACTGTGAATACCTGAGTGATGGGACTAACCCGGGTGTGCTTCATTGTCCTAGTATGGGTAATGGAAAGACAGTCGGGTGTAAAGAGGCTGATGAAAAGGACGATGCTGATGGTGTTACGGATTGTAATTATCCGGGTCTTGAGAGGAAGGTCCATGTTGTTGTTTATTGTGAGTGGTAAGATTTGGAACTACGAGTCTTTTGTGCAAATGCCGGCGATTGTCGTCCCAGTAGTAATGGCTCGCTGCTCGCTCCGCGTTATCGCAAGCCATTGGCATGTGTTCTGCTCATGCCGAAGAGACGCTTGAGATGCAATGCGCCTCTCCGTCACCATAACAGGCTTCAAAGTCCCCCAAACAAGGTCTTATCTACACTAAACAGCGGCTGAAGTGCAGTATCGCGTGAATGGCTGGTGTTTGAGAGACTAGCTGATCGTCGCTGCGGCACTGCAGATGTGGTTATGCGAGCCTCCTGTGACGTGCGTTGCGGCTGGAAGCTTAGCACTTGAGGAAACCATGACGTCAACAACGAGCTTGGACTTATTGCAGCTCTAGACCCTACGTTTGGCGGGCAACCTCAACTGTAAACTACACACCTCACAACACAGGAATCTTTGTCAGTTTCAATTGCATCTCACCAATTCACATCATGAGCTTCCTACGACCCATGTCAATGCTGCGCTCGGCAGCACTACGGCCCGCAGCCCTCTCGGCGGCTCCCCGTGCCCGCGTCCAAGTTCGTTTCGCGACATCAGATTACGGCTCTGGTAAGGGCAACCCAGCTGGAGAGAAGCCCGAGAAGCAGGGCGCCAACCCCAGCGAGAACCTCGAGCACCCCGGCCCCGCACCTCCCAAGGTCGCCCAGGGCAAATCGTCGTCGTCGCCGAACAAGGACAGCAACGCCAGCCAGAATGACTCTCCCAAGCCTACATCCGAGTCACCGGCTCCCAAGAGCTCTTCCGGCAAGCGCGAGTTCTCGACATCGGCCCGCCAGATGAAGGACAACAAAGAGCCAGCGGTCAAGCAGGGCCAAGACAACAAGCCCTCGCCCAACGAAGTCAAAGGTGCGAAACCCAAAATACTCAACGAAAACCCGCCGGCTTCTGAAGAGCAGAGCGAGGACGTCAAGCAACACAACAAGGACATGGATAACAGGGCGGAACAGGCGCATGAGAAGGTCAGCAACGAAGAGGCAGAGAAGGACAAAGTCCCCGGCGGCTTCTGGAAAGGTATGTCATAGCTTGACGAAGGGCATTGGCATGTTGCTAACACATTTACAGGCGAAGGTGGACGAAGCGGCTCCGAAGGCGTACGAGGATAAGCAAGGGGCGGGTGAATGTTCGGACAAGATGAGCATGTGTACAATTAGCTGAAATTGACTCGTAGAAGTGTCATGGAATGTACAACATTCATCAAACATAAGCAGTCAGAGATAACGCGTCCTGTGCTATCTATCCATCATCGGGGCTCTGAACGTAGGCTTGGCTTCATAAGTTTTGTGCATGTTTGGGGATGACGTAGGGGGCTAGCGTGTGGATCGCCCCCGCATTTGTCGACGTGATGGGATTTTTTTGAAATGCCATCGCGACACAACGCCCGGCAGAGGGGCGCTATTTCGCACGACTTGTGCCACGATGATGCTCTCTGCCTTTGTAAACAAAAGTGACAGGCCTCGGAGCTCTCTTACTGCGAAAACGTCAAGCATATGCAGGGCCTAGACCGTGCTCCTGAAAGGCGATCTCACAATTGCGCACAGCCAAAAGACGCGGTTGCATGTGGCCATAGCTCCTCATTGGCTGCTCTGCGAGGCAGGCGCGTTGGGGATCTTGTTTGCCCAAGCTCCATACGTGCAGCACTACGTCACTCGCACGCACACAATCTACCCGCCATTGTCTGTTCCCTCCCCTCATAAACTCGCTGCCCACCACTACCCTCTAGCCCTCACCCCTCTGCCGAGTTTGCCTACCCTTCAAACCCTCGTCTTTGCTTCATTAATCGATATCAAGCACATCCTCACATCGGCAGCCACACATCATGAGGTTCTCCCTTACATCCACCTTCGTGGTGTCCCTTGCTGCCACGGCAACGGCCAACAGCTGGTTTGGAAGCGCCGGTGCGTATAGTACATAACCCCTCCCGTTTGTTTTGATTTGTCCACAGCGCCATGCAGCAGTATACTGACGCCAGGAAGCAGTCTACGACAAGTGGCACGAGACCGAGCTTGAGCGCTGGCTGAGCGACCACGGCGTTCCCCACCCCAGCCCCTCTGACCGCAAGAACCTCCAGTCGACTGTCAAGGCCAACTGGAACGACAAGGTTGTCACTCCATACACCAGCTGGGATGCGCAGACCCTTCAGAACTACCTGACCCTCAAGGGCCAGCAGGCGAAGAAGGGCACCGAGAAGGACGCCAAGAGCCTCGCTGAGCAGGTCAAGGTGTACTGGACCGAGACCGAGGATTCCGCGAACCAGGCCTATGGTAGTGTCAAGGACTGGATCTTCGACTCGTGAGTACCCAGAAACCATTCTCCACGCAGTCACTAACAGCCTACAGTTGGTCCGACTCTCAGCTCAAGGCCTTCGCCGATAAGCACGGCATTCCCGTCCCCCAGCCCCGCCAGCGCGACTCTCTTCTCGCTGCCGTCCGTAACAACTACCAGTCCGTAGCCGAGAAGGCCAAGGAGACTGCCAACTACCCCGGTGACTGGCTCTACGCTTCCTGGTCTGACTCTGACCTCAAGTCTTGGTTCGATGAGCGCGGTTACAACGTTCCCCAGCCCAACACCCGCGACTCGATGATCGCTGCTCTCCGCCGCCAGTCTCGTCTTGCCAGCCAGCAGTCCCAGAGTGCCTACGCTTCCGTCTCTTCCGCTGCTGCCAACGCCCAGCAAAGCCTCAGCGACGCCCTTCTCGACTCTTGGTCTGACAGCCAGATCAAGGAGTGGGCTGACAAGAACGGTGTCAAGGTTCCCCAGGGCTCCAAGCGCAACGAGCTCATCGCTCTCGCCCGCAAGCACCGTGCCCGCCTTTACGGCGACAGCGCCTCTGCATCTGCCGGCTCCGTCTCTGCCTCTGGTGCTTCCGCTTACGGTGCTGCTACCTCCAACGTCGGCCAACAGTACGCTGCTGCCACCGGTGGCTTCGCCTACTACACCGACTTGATCAAGCAGCAGATTGGTCTCGCTCAGGCCAGCGTTACCTCTGCCACCGACGCTGCTGGATCCAGCGCCAGCTCTGCTTCCGTTCGCGCCGCTTCCAGCGCCAGCTCCCTCAGCGGCGCTGCTGGCAAGGCCGCGTCCTCATCCTCATCCTCCATCTCCAAGTCTGCTGCCAGCGCTAACGCCGCTGCCTCTTCCTCCGCTTCCAGCGCTTCTTCGGTTGCCTCCAAGTCTGCCCAGAGCGGATACGATGCTGCCGCCGCTAGCGCCAGCTCTGCTAAGCAGGAGTTGTAAGCACCCCACAACAACCGACAAGTAGCGTTCGGTCATACCCTCACTCGATATGACTGCCATACGCATCACTTCACGACCTTACGATCTGCGTACGGATAGGCGGAAAATGGAAACCTGTAACATTAGCATCACGACGATATCCCCTCTGCGACCTCCTGGTAGGCTTGAGGAGGGTCTTGTAGTTTTTCTTATTCCTTCGGAATTGGGATGGATGGATGGCGTCTCACGTAGCTTAGTATGCGCTTGATAATAAAAAGTATAATTGCACTGCTGTCCAAACATTGAGACGTGATTGATTCGTGATTTGATATTGATGTGTGTTTTATTTACATGGTTGGAGTGTCGTTACCATGTGAATGATGATGATCGTCATCATCACTGTATAACATAACCAGCCCACAAAGTTATTCCTAATCGTGCTCAACAAGAAATTCTGCATGCGAACTTTGCGCGCCAGCAGCAGGGTCATTAACGAAAGTGATGCGCCTTTTTGATAATCTAGTCTTCAGTGTGCGGGTGGTGCACCAGGCAATGGCAAGTCTGGACCCGCAAGAAAGCTCCATGGTTGCGTTCTCTTTGTAGTTCTTGCACAGACCATGAGTTTGTTGCGGTCGTCTTTGAAGATTAAGAGGCGGAGACGACTGCAGAACGCGACATGTCGTTAAAGGCGCGTTGGTTTTGGAAGCACACATGAGTGTTGAGTGGTTCAGCTTTGGTATATTAAGGCTCGCGCTGGACCGCGGACACATGTATTTGACAAGTTGGTCTTTTTGTTCTTGGATGTTGCAGCTCAGAGGAGAAGGTGCTCGTCATGTCGCTGATGGCGCCACCTTTTGATGTATCCCCGGAGAAGGAGGTTCTCCTCACGATACAGTAACATAGTTGTTTTTGATGTTTCGTCGAAGAAAAGGAAGGAAGGCAGACTCATAGGCAGAAGTTCTGTAGCTTTTTGGACAAGACTGCGCAGCCATGCGATGGGGTTATCGGCATTTTGAATACTCAAGCGTGGAGAAGATGACGAAAGGTGGAAGGAGGAAGAGAGGCAGCAGCTTGCTCATAGCGGCTGTAGTTGCATTTTTGAGAAGACGGCGCAGCCTTCGTGGGCCACAGCCCCCCTTTTGGTGTTTTAAATGCTTGGATTCCGAGGAGGTACCAAGAGACCGAGCGAGGAAGAGAGGCAGACACATCGCGGACAGGTGCTTGGAATTCTTTTGAAAGAGACGGCGCAGTCATCCCGTGATGATCATGTGGTTTTGATAGTTTAAATACTCAAGTGTAGAGAAGATAGCGAGAGGAAGAAGGGAGAAAGAGGGGTTTATATATTTGTCGCACTGCTCGTGACGCTCTCCATGCCAAGTTATTTCTTGTAGTTGAAGCAAAGAGGAGAAAACGACACATGTCTTGTCAAAGAATAGTTTTTTGGACATCCCGGAGTCGCCTGGAGTCTTTAAGACCTGATTTCCAATCGTCTCTGCTTTGCACATCAGAAGTTGGGTATGAGCATTTTCGGTTGACAGGGCCGCTGGACGAACATGTATACAAACAAGGATATTTTTTGGTGAGATGAACCCTGTGTGTGAGAAGAAGGAGGAAGAAGCGACAACATGCGACAGTGTCGAAGTATTTTCCAGTCGACGAGTGCGCTCATAAGACATTAATGCAGTACTTTTGGTATACAATGATGCTGGAAGAGCCTTTTCATGCCTATAGGCTTGCATAGTTTTGAAAAA